TTCAAACCATTATTTAAACAATAATACCGGAGCAGCAAACCGACGCCGGTCAAGTTCCCGCCAAAACTCTCTCCAAAGAGTATAATAACTGTCAGTGTGACCATCTTTAAAATACAGATCCTGCCATACTTTGGTTAAAAACCTGCCAAATCCTGCCAAAATCTGTAATGAAAAATGCCTAAATACTGCCAACTTTATTTACCATTGTATTATACTAAGAAACGTCAAAATACAAAAATACAAAATACGAAATTAAACATATCTTTACTTGGTTCGAATGCAATGCAATCGCCATGCTTGTTTAACGTACAAGATAGACGCTAAATGTTTATTTATAAATCTGTTTCGTGTTTTTGTCTTAATTAAATTTATTTTAGAGAATATTCTTTCGCATGTTGATGTTTGCTAGTAGCGGCATGCTCCTTTAAGCGGACAGCCGGGGTGTCAATTTGCAGTTACAGTATACAGTCTAGATCATCTTTAGCTTTTGAGATCCATGATGAAAATAAAAGATCTCTTCGCTCTATACGCCCTTTCTTATTTTCGCTTCGTCACCACCACCTATAATTACTATCGTCCACGAAATATTATTAACAAGATTTCATGGTAATAATGAAATCAAATTCTGTACCATACTAAAGTACGTCTCTTTTATGACTGATTGAAATATTAAACAACTCGTGTTAAGATTTTTACTTTAGACTTTATACACAAACTTTTTTTAAAGTTGTTTGAATGTGATACAAGCATAATACGAGAAATCGAGAAATACAGGGAAATCCCCAACATGTTGGCGAAGTATCTAGGGTTGTCATTTTCGTCATTTTAAGTTGCCATAATGAAATATATTTTTAATACCCCAATACTGCCAAATACTGCCAGGTTTAATAAAACCTCAACCGATCATGCCACAGGCTAAAATAAGAGGCCAATCCGGCCAAAATGGCAGGAACCTGCCACATATGGTCACACTGATAACTGTCCTAACTCCTAAGGCCCGCCACATACATACAGGATTCCGTTTCGATATTCCGAACGCAGCAAGTTCATATAAAATCTATGACCCGTCACACACGTACGGTAGTTTTCCGTAAGAAATTTTGCGGGCAAAACGGGATTCCGTATGTGTGTGGCCGACCCGTTCGGAATTCCGAAACGGAATCCCGAAACAGAATTTCGTATGTATGTGGCGAGCCTTAGTCCTATACAGGAAAAGAGAGCCCACTTCAGTGCTGCCAACCTCAAAAAACTAAAAAACAACAAATCGCCTAAAAAAACAGTAGAAAGCAGTAGGTAAAGAAAAAAATGGCAGATTTCATAACCAGCCTTTGAACCTATCATCTTTTAACCACAAATTTACGAATTTCTGTTCATATTTCACATTTTTCTTCTTAGGAAGACTTTTCCCAGTCGATGAATCACTACTCATTTTATCAACAACGTTGTAATTATTGTTTTTTTTTTTAAATAGACGCCGCAATTCAAAGAAACTATTCAAGGTGTTGTGATTATAAAAAAATACGCAGTATAATAGGCGTGTAGCTGTCATTCATAAATTGGGATTTTCCGTGCATAAAAATTTATTTATTTTATTTATTTATTTATTCTTTATTGCATTCCTTAAAACAAAAGAATACAAAGGGCGGACTTAATGCCTTGAGGCATTCTCTACCAGTCAACCCATGGAGTGGTGAGAATTTGACGTAGGTGCGACAATATAGAATAAAATAACAGTACACAAAATAATAATTAACTACATAATACATACAATTTACTAATAAATAAACTATACATACTTAAATGACGTATACAAACATATATACAAATATATACATACAAATATACATACAAATATACATACAAATATACATATTTAAATACATATTTAAATACATAATATATAATTAGTACATACAAATACCTATGAATATATGCGTCTGTTTAGCAATACATATCAAATGGATGAATCAAGTAAAATGCTTTGTCTTCAATAGATGGTTACGGACCAATTTTTTAAAAACATACTTGTTGGATGTTTTTCTGATGTCATCGGGCAAGGAGTTCCAAAGGCGTGTAGCCTGAACTGTGAAGGAGTTGCCATAGAACTCGGTGAAGTGAACAGGAATACAGATTTTGTTGTTAGAAGAAGAACGTAGGACCCTATCATGAGATGAGGAGAGATAGTGAAATTTACTCTTAAGATAAGAAGGCGAAGATGGGTCATTTAAAATGGAAAAAAGAACAAGCAATATTCTGGAATTGCGCCTCTGACGGATTGTAAGCCAATTTAGCTTAGATCTATATTGCGAAATATGGTCATACTTACGAAGCCCGAAAATAAATCGTATACAGTTGTTAAGAAGGCGTTCCAGTTTGTTCAGAAGATCTTGGGACAGATCTGGGTAACAAACATCTGCATAATATAAATATGATTGTCAAACACATATAATGTGGTCGGGAATTCCCTCGAATCCCGAATAAAGAAGATACTGCCATCTAGTGTCATTGCGTTTTGTAACGTAGTGGTTATCATAAAATGTTTGCATAGCAGTGTAATAGGTGGCGCTGAACGCTAGTTGAAAAATAGTAGAAAATAGGAATGAAACAAAAAACATTGAAATCAATGTGAAAACAGCAAATCTACTGTTAAAACAGTAGGGTTGGTAACAGTGGCCCACTCGTGCGTAATCTGTCAAACGAGGAGTACTAGCGCTGTCTGGTGTCGTTTCGCCACAATATTGTGAGAATGTGTGCGTGCGTATAACACATACACCTCTACATATACACCTCTGTTCATGGTCATTCATTACGCTTTACGGCTTTATGTACTAGGATTAATTATCAACAACCAACTGTGAATTAAACATTTGAAACATTTTTTAAAGATAACTGCATAGTAACTAAATGCTTCAAATGTTTAATTTAACAGTCGATTGTTAATAATTAATCCTAATACATAAAGTGTGATTCATAATTTGTAAATAGGGATTAACTATGATATTTTTAACATGAATGAAATTAAACACAAATAATTGATACATTATTCTATATTTTTTGAACTTAATGAAAATAAAGGAGATAGATAAAGATTTAACATAGTTTTGACAATACAACATTTAAAAATAATATTTTTATTCTAATGTTTATATCATTAAAAGATTAATAATACAGCTAGTGTCTATACAAAAATAGTAAATTTTATTATTTTTATAAATGATGAGTTTATTATAATAAATGAATCATAACAAAGTTTTTACAAAATGTTAAGCTAATACCATAACGGTAAACTGAAACGGCTATGAATCAATCCACAGCTGTAACCACGCTTGGCAAGTGGGTTGGCAACTGCAGTTATTAGGAAGATCAGTCCACCTGCTCATGTGTTTCCCTCTGTCGCCTCTTACGATGACACCCACGGGATGATAATATAGGGTTGTGGATATATTATTATTCACTATTCATAAAATCATAAACGCACTATAACGCTAAAACGTATAAGGCTCGCCACATACATACGGAATTCCGTTTCGGAATTCCGAACGGACTGGCCACACATATACGGAATCCCGTTTTGTCTTTTTTGCGGAAATTTTGCGGACAAAACAGGATTCCGTATATGTGTGGCCGATCCGTTTCGGAATTCCGAACGGATCGGCCACACATATACGGAAAAAAAACGGAAAAACTGCTGTGTTTCGTATGGTGAGTGTAGAGAACCGGAGACCCTTTTTACTGGAAAAGAGGCATTCCATCTTTGTCCTCACGAGTGACAACGCATCTACGTTTTGATTCGCAAACGAGGATAAATGTAGATGTCTATGGGCCGCAGTAGCCGCATGCCATCGGGTGGACTGTGTGCTCGTTTGTCATCCTTATATAAAAAAAAAAAGAGCAACGAACCACGCGTAGTGTTTCTATATAGTTTGCATATATATCACAAACTATATAGAAACACTACACGATGCCTATATTTTACAAGTTCCTTGGTTGTACCACAGACTACTTAGAACCAAACTAACATAAACACAACTATAGATAATATACTATATACCAGTAGTCTTTGATACCAGCAACACTATTAAGTTTTGGCGGAAACTTGACCGGCGGCGGATTGCTGCTACTGTATCATTGTTTTATTTATACGTGGTAGAGCCATGCTGCAGCTATATAAGTAGTATAGTATAGTTGTAGCACAAATGGGTCTGCTCGACCGGGGAAGGACCACGCACTCACAGAATACCAGCGTAAAATAGCAGCTCAACACTGATGTATTTCGTATGGTGAGTGTAGAGAACCGGAGACCCTTTTTACTGGAAAAGAGGCATTCCATCTTAGTCCTCACGGGTGACAACGCATCTAAATTTTAATTCGCAAACGAAAATAGATGCAGACGTCTATTGGCCACAGCAACCACTTACCATTAGGTGGACTGTGTGCTCGTTTGTCACCCTTATTCTTCTATAAAATAAATAAATGTTTAAATAATGGTTTTAAGTGGATTTTGAGATGTAAAAGTGTCACGAGTTTGTGTATTTAGTGTCTGCGCATGTGAACTATTAGTGGAAACGGTGAAACAAGTGCTGGTGATGTGATTCTAAAGATAAGATGTCTGTCTGCTTAGGCGACTTGGGATATCATCGCCAACTGTCAGCTGCCTGCTGGCTCAAGTAGCCGTCAAAACCTCCCAAGGGCTGCACAATATGACGCATCAACATATTGTGAAGCAGTGTTCTATGGAGGATAATAATTATCCCTCATAGTAATGTAAAGTATTTATTATACATTGTAACTTCTGGCTCAGAAGGGCTAGAACCCAAAGCTGTAAAGCCAGTTATAAAAAAAGATGAGTCTGTCGTCTGAGGAATTTGTGTTTGTGATATTTTTGTTTCGTTGACAAATTATCAATTTGAGGTTGAAATTATCATTAACAATTGATTTAATTCCTTATATTCCTAACATTGTATTTATTTACAGCCAATAGTGATTTTTTTTTCAAAACTATGAATAGAAGAAGAGGACACGACGAAGAAGATGGATATGGTAAACTATAAAACTTTTTTGTAGGTTATAACTATTTACTCATAAAATAAATATTAATGGCCTTTAATTTTTAGATCGGGTTCATCGTAAAAGGCGTCGAGTATCAGAAAATCAGGAAATTGAAGACAGATTAGAATCACTTATATTGAGAGTTGGCGAAAAAAGTAGTTCAAGTTTGGAGAGTAATCTTGAAGGCTTAGCTAGCGTTTTAGAAGCGGATTTAAGCACTTTCCGTGTAAAGATTTTACGTATTCTTACCGAATGTGCCATACGAATGCCTGAGAAATGTACTATTTATGCTACGTTGGTTGGTCTACTCAATGCAAAAAATTATAATTTCGGCGGAGAATTTGTGGATTATATTGTAAAGACATTTAAAGAAAATTTAAAAACAGGAAAATGGAATGCGGCTAGGTATTGTCTACGTTTTATTTCAGATCTTGTCAATTGCCATGTTTTAGCTGCATCGTCTTTATTGACACTCTTAGAAACTTTAGTAGACTGTGCTAATGAAGATGGAGTACCACAAGTTAGAAGAGATTGGTTCGTATTTGCTGTTCTCTCAACTTTGCCGTGGGTTGGGAGAGAATTATATGAGAAGAAAGAATCTCAACTCGATCATTTATTAGTAACAATAGAAGTGTTTCTAAATAAAAGGAGTAAAAAGCATTGGCCAGCATTAAAAGTGTGGTCAGCAGACTCACCTCACCTTCAAGAAGAATATTTGGATTGTCTGTGGGCACAAATTAAAAAGTTGAGACAAGACAACTGGTCAGAAAAGCATATCCCAAGACCTTATCTTGCTTTTGATTCTATTCTTTGTGAGGCCTTACAACATACTCTTCCAAGTATACAGGTGACAACTGATTTCTAGTTTATAAATATTTAAATTATGCGAAAAGCTTTTTTTGCAAATACTATTTATTAAATTATTTCTTATTATTTAAAGCCATTTTAGGCTTGTTAATGTATTATTAAATGTTTTTCTTATACATTCTGTTCTATTTATCTTTTAAATTCGAAATGTGTGGTAATGCATTATTTTAACTGATTTTACTGCGCATGCACACATTCATAAGGGTCGATCAGTAGGCAAAAAAGTTGTTGCCCATAAATTACATTTTATTTGGGATAATTTCAAATAAATGTGGAAGCCTTGTTTACACATATTTTCAAAAAGTGCAATAATAGTACATCATTATTTATATACTTGAACTCAAGTTTAAACTTTGGCTTCTCTTTGAAAAATAACTATATTTTCATAGGGTAACCATTGACTTAGGAAGATCTGTATAGTAAACATAGAGTAACTATACAAATTTGTGTAAGAATGGAATAGTGCTCAAATCCTGAAAGCTTGCCAATGTGCAGTTTTTTCAAAGAAAGAGTTGTACTGACTCTACTCATTATTGGCCAATATCAGTTACCTCTGTAAAATTATGGAGCATAAATTTAAATGTCCACATTATGTCATACTTAGAGCAGAACAACCTACTCAGCAACCAACAGAATGGCTTTTGTCATTATCAACATAGGGCGTTCTAACATATGCTACACAGATACGGGACAAGGCTTTAAAGAATAATAGAAAAGCAATTGCTGTTCCCCTTGATGTCTTGTAAGCCTTTCACCGGGTTTGTCATGCTGACCTTTTGGGAAAGAATTCAGCGTACGGCTTAAAGCTTCTTGCTAAGGTGCTCCACTACAAAGTATGAACACATTGGCAGAATTGGCGAGAAACTAGTTCACCTCCCTTCGGGAACATGTGCATTCTGGTCTCTCACCAAGGCTGTCCTAGGGAACTTCTGTTAGCCATCTCTGCACAGGGTGGACGACTTACTGGCCCATGCCGCAAAGGACAAAGCCTATGATATGCTGGGTTCTCTCTTTGCGTCAAACTCGACTCTCGATGACGGGGGGAACACACCGCCAACCTCCCAGCAGTGTGAGTGCTCAATGCCTGATGTGCGATTCACACAGTACTCAGTACACAAAGTACTCCTCCCCCTGGACATCCACAGGTCGAGTGAGCCTGATCGAGTCCCGCCAATAATGCAGAGGATGTGTGCTCCAGAGTTGCCACAGGTTCTAACGCGTCTTTTCCAGTAATCCTACTCCCTAGGCATTGTCCCAATTCATGGAAGACAGCTTTCACCCGATCCCTAAAAGAGGTAACCCCTTTGATCCATCCAACTATGGGCCTATTGGCATCACCTACTTGTTCTCGAAAATAATAGAGTCCATTATTAACTGCCAGTTCATGCGGTACCTTGAGGAGCAACAGCTGCTTAGTATCTGTTAGTTAGTTCTGTAGTAGATCTTCTGGTTTACTTAACTCATAGATGGACGGAGGCAGTAGAGTCCAAGGGGGAGGCATTGGCCGTTAGTTTGGACATTGCAAAGGCTATCGATCAGGTTTGGCACAAAGCTCTTCTTTCGAAGCTCCCTTCCTATGGGCTTCCCGAGAAATTGTGCAATTGGATCACCAGCTTTCTTGCAGATCGGAGCCTCAAGGTCGTTGTAGACTGTGCATGCTCCGACTACAAGCCTATTAACACTGGTGTTCCACAAGGCTGCATGCTATCACCATCACTGTTTCTTCTGCATATCAATGATATGTTGCAAACCGGTAGCATTAATTGCTATGCGAATGATCACTTGGAAGAGTAGGCCAAATTGGCCTCTAAAAAGCTTAGCGTGCTCAACAGAGCGGGATAGTATTTTGTGCCGGCACACCACCTGCAACTGTACAAGGTGCAGGTTCGGCCTCACATGGAATACCTTTTCATTATTGATATACAACACATTCTAACGAAATGGTTTGCTTCATTGTTTATAATGCATATAGCAAAGGCTAATTTGCCAGCATTTTTTTTAATTTATAGCTAGACTAAGTTAGTCTGCTTTACCATCTTTGGCTGCATCATCACTTACCATCAGGTGAGATAATAGTTAAGCACTGACTTATAATAGTTAAAAAACATTAAAAAGGTTGCTGAGTGATGTATTCTGTAGTATAAACAATGTTAAGTATCAGGGATCTACAATCCCCACAGTAATAATCCATAAGACATATCACTGTGGAAATAGCTGGAAAAAACCAACAGCTGTTATAGATGTAGCATAAAAGTGTTTTTGTCAATCTCAACTAACAAACTTGTTCTTGATACATTCTATACAAGGGCCAAATATTCTTGAAGTGTTGTGGCTAAACAGAATCTTTAGTCACAACACTTCAAAAACACATTTACCATAATTTTTCTTCTTTATACAAATATTTCTAAATATAAAAATAAAAATTAATATTTTTTTATTGCAGCCTCCACCACACAATGATGGTGATACATACCCAATGCCAAGAGTTATATTTCGCATGTTTGACTACACGGACTGTCCAGATGGTCCAGTTTTACCAGGAGCACATTCCATTGAGAGATTTCTAATTGAAGAACATCTTCACAATATTTTAGAGGCGTATCACTTGGAACGCAAGGAATGTGCTGCCCAACTTCTGTGCTTTCCATATAAAGCCAAAATTCCACTTGAATATTGCATTGTTGAAGTGATTTTTGCAGAGTTATTCAATCTGCCTGTACCAAGATATTTGGAGATTTGCTATGGTTCAATTCTTATTGAACTTTGTAAGCTTCAGCCTTCTACTATGCCCCAAGTCCTAGCCCAAGCTACAGAAATTCTTTTTATGAGAATTGACACAATGAATGTGGCTTGTTTTGACAGGTTAGTAATTGTTGAATTTTGTAATATTTTGTGTAATCAAAAATATACCATTTAGCTTAGAATGTGGGTTAGTTGTTAATTTTTTTTTTGATGACATTGTCATTACTAATGGTAATATTATAATGTCTACCGCTGGACGTCGGCCTCTTCAGAGTTGGTATAATCTGCGAAAATTGGTATGCTTGCCAGTAGATGACAAATACACAGGCCGACAAATAAAAATATTATTTCGTAAGTCTACAGTCTCCATTCAATATTATTTTATTGGTTTATCTCGAAAATTTTATTATTACCGACTAGTGGTGGCGTAAGAAAATCGACTACCCCATATCATTCTGCTTCGTTCGGGAAGCTACGACACATCTTCTCGTTAGACATACCTCAAAACCTGAAAACGAAATTGTACAACCAGTGCGTGTTGCCAGTGATGACTTACGGAACTGAGACGTGGTCCTTCACTGCTGGCCGTATGAGGAAGCTCAAGGTCGCTCAGCGAGCTATGGAGAGGGCTATGCTCGGAGTTTCTCTGCGTGATAAACTTAGGAATGAGGATATCCGCAGTAGAACCCGAGTAACCGACATAGCCCAACGGATTAGTAAGCTGAAGTGGCAGTGGGCCGGCCATATAGCTCGAAGAACCGTCAACCGATGGGGAAGAAAGGTTCTCGAGTGGCAGCCTCGTACCGGTAGACGAAGTGTAGGGCGTCCCCCCACGAGATGGAGTGACGACCTGGTAAGACATGCAGGAAGTCGATGGATGCAGGTGGCTCAGGACCGTGCTTTGTGGCATTCTTTGGGGGAGGCCTATGTTCAGCAGTGGACTTGTGAAGGGCTGTAATGATGAATGATGAATGATATCATTCTGCGGGCGTCGTAACAGGCGATAGATGGAAACTAAACAGGTGATGAGTGGCAATATCCTCCTGATTGCAACTCAAAATTATTTAAAAAGTATTTGGCGAGTTTCAAAGAATATATAAGGTCTTGGCCATATAAATTGTAGAATCCCTGCTGTGTCCAGTCATCATCATCAGTTGTGAGAAGAATGTGGTTGAATATTAATAAAGGATGTAAATAGTAGACATGAGATGATAACGCGGTTTGGATTCGGTACTCGGCGGATTCGGCCTTTTTTTAGGGTTCGGCCGAGCACTGAGTATTAACAGCCGAGTATCGAGTACTCGGCCTTAATTATACTCCAGAGAAAAATAAAGACAAAAAGCCAGTTTTAATCATTATTATTACATTAGACACATTAAAACATCAGGAACATGAGAAGCAGCAGAAATATTTAGAACGTACACATAAGAATATAATAGAAATTATTATTACTAATATTTAAAATTTAAGAGAGGAAGATTGTGATCCAAAAACACTAGTTTTACAACCTTATTTGGGTCTAGTTTGTAAAGGAAATAACCGCACGCCGCCAGCTACCGCATTTTTTTTAAAGCCGAGTATTCGGCATAGTACTTGGCCCAATGTAGGCCGAGTACTCTGCGAATCACTACTCGTTCCATGTCTAGTAAATAATAGCTTACACGGCACTCGATGGTGGAGGTATTTTGCAACTGTATTTAGAAAGGCTATTTCAATAAAGGGCAAAGTGTAAAGTTAATGAGTTACATTGTCAACGCTGTATGGTTTTGAGTGCTGAGAACAAATTTACCTCCCAACTTCACCTTTCAACCCAACAACAACCCTTACTTACCAACAATAATTTTAATGGGTAATAATTTGTATATCAACATCAATACACGTAAATAATAAAATCTATTTAAAATTAAAATACTAATAAAAATATTTTGTTGTAGGTTTGTCAATTGGTTTGCATATCACTTAAGCAACTTCCAATATCGTTGGTCATGGGAGGATTGGGAAGGATGTATTCAACTTGATCCAGAACATCCTAAGCCTCGGTTTATAAGAGAAGTCTTAGGAAAGTGTCTCAGGTTTGTTTATCTGATAATTTTCTTTGATTTATAGAGAATTATTTTTTATGAAGATTATTGAGTCAACTTTCTATGGAACTCATCTAATTTTTAAGTGAAATTATAGGTTTTGTTTCTATAAATGTTAGCAATCCTAAGACATGACTATACAGTTATCTTGTCATTGTCACCTCACACCCTCACAATCGAGGTTTAACAAAATAACGCCAAATATCTGACAAGCAAATTTTTTTTTTTAGTTAATGGGGATGAAAGAAACCTTGAACATTTTTCACTTGTGACTGGGAGCATAGATTTGTTTGTCAACAAGTTGACATATTTTTACTTATTATATTTTCTGAAAGTAAAATTAAATTAAATTTTTACTTAAATGATTTTCCACTAGGATAGTGCACAAGCTCACACATGTAGTTGCAATGGGAAAAATAAATGAATTCCGACTGTACTTAATATTCTACCTTCCACGTCCCACCATATTTTCAAAATGTATTCTGCTTAGGTTCCTCAAATTGTGAATTGAGTAACATGACTTCATGATTTTAGATATTTCAGAAGATCATATCCAGTTGCCAGTCCATAACAGGTGGAAAGACAACCCAGTGAGTGGGTTTGTGGACTTTTTAAAGATTTCTTTTTAATATTTACTTCCCTTATATTTAAACAGGGAATGCAAAATTTTCCGTTTTTGTATTTTGAGTGGGGGGTATCATCACAAAGGTATTTTAAAATAATTATAAGGTTCTTTAAACTGAAGTAACCTTATAATTATTTTGTTTGTTTCACATACTTTGTTTTTGTAATATGAAGTGTCTTGCCTTCGTGTCTCGAACATTAGCAGCAAAAGTTTCTAGCATTTAAACTTAAGAAAATATTAGACATAATCGCTGTGTAAGTAGGGTGCTATTTCTGCTATAATATTAACCACTTTTTTCTCCAGATATATCAATTGGTACTATAGAATTGTTTTTCAGCCACCAGATGGTTAAGCCTCATTTATCAATTAGTAAGGTGTTCATCATGTCCAAATGATTCTAATATCTGGAGAAAAAGTGGTATTTTCTAGCAGAAGTAGTATTACTAGTGCGATTATATTAGCTGACCAACTCGTATGGCCAGTTTGGTGAAACAGAAACTTATCTAGGTATGTGTTATTTTGACTGTGTAGTGGCGTACTCCATATCATCCCGTGGGTATCGTAAGAGACGACAGAGCAAAACAAACCAGGAGATGGGCAGCAGCCTCTAAAAAACTGTGGTTGCTAACCCGCCTGCCAAGTGTGGCAAGTATTGCAAATATCCCATTATGCAGGAATTTATTGGAGGCCCATGTTCAGCAGTGTACTTTTGATAGGCTGTAATGGTATGCATCATTTTGATGTATGCTTGAAGTCTTGTATCTACTATAGCACTGGATTGATAAGGACAATTAAGAAGGAGAGATAGTCTGCACACACTATCTTACACGTATTTTTCAACTTTTCGTTTCGTTAATCATATTCACTTGTATTTACATACAGACTTACAGAGATATTTTTCTAGGTTGTCATATCATCAAAGAGTGAAGGACATGATACCAGAGACGTTAGCTCCCTTGGTGCCGCTTAAACCAGAACCAATATACAAGTATTCAATGGAAGGAGCAGGTAAGTTATGTAAATAATTATAAATTGTGTGATTGAATAATTGGAATTTTGTTTAGAATAAATAGGTTTTATTTATCTTAACCTAAGCTTATCTTGAAGGTTAATTTATTTACAATTCATTAAAATATAAATAATGCATTTAAAAAACATGTACCTTACAAATGAAAATATAAAATTGCTTTAAATGCCAGTACATTTGTATGTGGTTTTTTTTACGTCATATATGTACCTCTGTTATAGGCATATGGGACTTTAAATTAAAGCTGTATTACTGAGTATTTTTGTTTATGAACTAAATTTCAGTCTATTCCATGGCCATAAGTTCCAACAAAGTGAGTGGGTGTTTTTCATCATCTTCATAATCATCGCGTGAATGTCGACGCGACTCATCTGCTGATTCAAAACTTGTATCTTCTTCTTCAAACGTTGATTCCTTTTCACTATCTTCTTCATATTCTTCATCTGATATTTCACTATATTTGTCATTATTATTAAGGGAATCCAGGAACTCTTCAAAGTCTTCATCAATTTTTGAATTTTGTTTCTTTGACTGACTCTGTTCTTTATCTACTTCTGATTTTAAAGTTATCGTTGGACTTTCTTCGATACTGGTATCTTCAAAGGAAAAATCCTTAATTAAGTCTTCTACAATACTAGTTGTTAATGGTTTAGCGGTGGTGGTGGTGGTAGTAGTAGTAGTTGAAGTTGTTGTAAAGGGAGTTGTAGGAATAATTGTGGTAGTTAGATCATTATTAATTTCGTAAGAATTTTTATTAGCTTTTGTTGTTCGATTTTGTTGCTTTTTCTTACACTTTTTTGTTTTTGGCATGAAATATGATGGTGTACTGGCAATCTTGTCTGTTGTAAATGTTTCCTCATTATCAATTATTTCATTGTTTTTATTACTAGGCGTGTCAGACGACTTTTCTAAAATATATTCATTTCGATCTCTAGACTCCTCGAATATTTGATATTTTTCTTCGTTCATATCAGATTCGTCCTCATTTTTCGTCAAAATTGCATCAGAACTTTCATTTACAGGAGTTATATTAGAAGTAACTTCAGTTTGTTTTGTTAAGTACTCATTCGTTATAGGATAACTTTTTTTACTAGTACCATGATCTAAATGTGCTTGATCCCTTCGCTCCTTGTCCCCAATTTTAGGGGTAGAGAAATCATATCCATGAAAGTTAGAACCTTTTCTTCTTTTTGTGTATATAGATGAAGTTAATGCTGATCGAAGCCTTTCTGGGGTAGACTTTGTTGCACTCCACCTACCATGTTTTACTGAAGTTCCTTTTAGTATTAGCGTTGATTGTCTGAACCTACTTATATTTCTTGAACGTGCAGTAGATGAAACAGATTCCCCATCTGCATTCTTAGCTGTCGTTGTGATAATTTTAGTTGTCGATGTTGGACTTACTGTCGTAGTACCTGTAGAGCTGATTGGAGTCGTAGATGTTGTCTTTGAAGAAGGTTGCCATTTTAATTTAATTGGACCGATAGCGGTTGAACTCGCTTGTGATAATATATCTTGAGTAGTTTTCTCTTTTGCTTTTTCGAAAGTCTTCGTGATTAGTGGTGTATTTGTTGTGGTTGAGGTTGAAGTGGTTGTTAGACGTTTGCGCTTTTTGATTTTTTCAGATTTATTTAACTTAATTGGTGCTCGAGTACGTTTCTTTGGTTTTAGTGTAGTAGATAGTGTCGTTGTTGAGGAAGGTTCAAAAGTCATCTTACTTGTTGTAGCTGATCCAGTGACAGTTATAGATGACGGAATGGGTGTTGTGGTCTGTGAACTGTTACTTTTTTCGTTTTGTGACTCCATCGGTATTGTTTTAGAAAATATTCCTAAAATATCGGCCCATTCCATATCATCATCTTGTTCTGAATTATTGTGCGCTGTTATAATATCAGGTGTATATGTTGTAGTTCGTTGTAGTTTACTATCATCATGTTTCTTCGGATTTTTTTTACTGGTTACAGTCGTTTTTCGAATTTTGTTTTCGTCTTTTTTATTAGCGTCAGCAATTAATGTTTTTTCTGTAGAATAATTATTATTAGCGTAAGTGGCAGTTATTGGCCTAAAAACAGTATCAAATAATGGATCGGGCTCAGAAAACTGAACATCGAGTACTTGTGGACTCGGTCGGAAATCTAAAGGTTTTTTGGGCCTGAATGATTTCGTGGGCGGCATCTTCAACGGAGGCATTGGTTTAAATGATTTTTTGTCCATTGTAACGAATACTCCCGGTGGAGCGTTGTAAATTGGTGGTCTTAAGGGTTCTGGAGAATAACTTACTTTTGCTGGAGTTTTATTTTTATTGTTTTGCTTGTGAACTGTTAAAATTTCTGGTGGATTTGTTTCATCCTCCAACGAGTCATATTTTATGAAATTGTTTTTCTTATTGTTTGACTCCTTTGGTGGTTGCGCTAGTGGTGGGAGAGGTGTGGGTAAAAACGCCGGATGCGTAGTTCTCTGGCCGTCGTTAAACCCTGCGATTTTGTAATTTGTTTGTGATACATATGGATTGCTTATACCTCCACTAATGTCCTGCTCCATGTGGTGATGCTGCACCAGACCGATTTGTGATGTGGTGAGTGGAGGTCCCTGATATTTTACATTTTGAAGTTGGTATGGATAAGGTAATGTTTTTATCTGCGAATGTTGTTCTGAACTCCCAAGGGAGCCAATTTTGGAATATTGCGAGTATGAAGGATTATAAGAGTTTTGCTTATATCTCCTTGGTGGATCATAGCTTGGTTCGTCGTCATCGTCAAACAATGAAGAAAATAATCTATCTAGTCCACTTTGATGTTGTATTTTGCGATACTGAGGTGCTCGTTCAATGTTTTTGTGAACCCAAATTGCTCTTTCTGGTCGCGATATTTGCGGTGAAACTATTTCAGATTTATGATATCTTTGGTACGGTTGTACCACTCTGTCATTTGTGCTTTCCTGAACTGTAAAGGTTCTGATTGGGTGTTCGTATGGCTTCTTTTGTTTTTTTGGTATTTGTGACATAACAGAAAAAGTCAACTCGTAGTGATATTTTCCCAGGGATGTTTCTTGATCCCTTTGCCTCACCCGTTTAACTGACCAGAATGCTTTGACACCATCCATACACTTATAATCGTCACAATTTTGTTGGGATTTGTCGTCTTCAGCGAAACGGAAGCCGCCTGATTCTTCCATTAATCTTCCTCTCGCTAATATTGTGACATCACCGTATGAAGTAGGCTCCTCTTCTCGTATCCTGTCGAACGGAGCAGCTTTAATTTTGTCCCACAGATCTTGATCATCAATAGTCTTTGCGCCACTATGATTAAGTTTGGTGTTAGGTGATATTATGTCACCTTTTGCAATCAGCTGATCAATTTTATCTCTAACAAGAGTTAGATATACGCTGTGGCGCAAGGCATCTTCCCAGTAATGTGCAGGTATTGCTACCACTGTAAGAGGTGAATCGGTTTTAATAGTCTCGTGAAGGGTACCCGCTCGTCCATCTCTTCTTTCGGAGTGCCACTCGTCCAGTGGGATAGGTGTAGGCCTGAAGTCATCTGCAACGTAACCATTTATCTGCAAAAAATATTATAAAGTTCATTAATATAAAAAAAATGATTTTTTTTATAGGATAGGGTGACAAACGACCACACAGTCCACCTGATGGTAAGTGGTTGGCCCATAGACATCTACATTTATCCTCAGTAAAGAATCAAAATCCAGATGCGTCGTCACTCTTGAGGGCTAAGATGGAATGCCTCTTTTCCAGTAAAATGGGTCTCCGGTTTTCTACACTCACCATACGAAACACAGTAGTATTAAGCTGCTATTTTACGCTGGTATTCTGTGAGAGCGTGGTCCTTCCCCGGTCGAGCCGACCCATTCGTGCTACAAGTATACTAATAATATAACTGCAGCATGGCTCTACCACGTAAAAGAATGATTGTAAGAAAACATATTATGTATATTGATTTATTACCAGATTTTAGTATAGGGCCCGGCAGACTTTGCTTGGCCCTTTCTAATAGGTGACCCCATTTAAATTTTATAGAAATAGGTCGAGCGCTTTTAAAAAAAATCAGCATTAAATTATTTATGTTGAAGTCGGTTGAGTACAAAAATTTTAATTTTACCACTTGTTGCACGAAACGAACATTATATTGTGAATATCAGTCATTTTGATCCATTATTATAGAATTTGTTAATAACTTCACTATTGGATCCTAGCTTTGTTTTGAACCGTCGTCGCCACAAAACATATATTTTGTTTGAATATGATCTCAACCGGTCACGTCGTTTAGTAGTTACACGGTCACTTACAGACGCACTAACGATTATTATATATAAAGATATTTTATATTATTATGTAAAAATAGTAAATATTTCAATAAGCGTATGAAAGTAAAATCGTGTTGACGGGAAAGTTCGGCGCGCCGAGCACAGTAGCGTGCAGTCCAGCAGTTGCGTGCCTTGCAATCCAACCCTCTCCGCATTGCAATTTCCACTCGAACAATTTTATCATAATTCTGGTATTTACGAAAGAAAATAATTGAGTATTATTGTGTGGAGAAAATATCTTTTGACTATGATTGAAATTTTCACATACCTACTTCTATTTTTCTAATTGAAATATTATGTTTGTTACGTATTTCGATGAAGTTAAAAAGGAAAGGTTTGAACGAAATAGTGCTTTCGTGTTTTTATATTGTTAATACCTACTACTTTAAGGCACGGTCATTGGTCATCACATTCAGTGACACGCTTTTGTTTAAAAACTTTAATGAAAGTTATTTTAGTGACAAAAATCTATTTATATTTACTAATAAGGAAGTTGAATATGATAAAGAATTCTATATTTAATTAAAGTTTTTAAAATATATTGATGTTGGCTATAATTCGTATCCAAAGAATCATAAAGTTGGTTCTATGGTGATATATTCGATTTGAAATGTTTGAAAACTTTATAGCCCAGTTCACAAGTTCGTCCGTTTGCTCAAAA